TGAAAGAAAAAAATACATTAGTAAAGTTATTAATGTTAACCTGATGTGGTTGCGATTGTGATCTCGAAGATTTAACCATATCCAAATTTGACAGATAATTCATGCTGTTAGCGAGATGTGAAGAGATCGTTGTAACTTGTAGTTGTGGTGATATTGAAATTAGAGATTGGATATTGGAATAAGGAATGGATGATGAGGTATTTTCATATGGTTGATCAACAGCAGCTGTTTTGAAGATATGGCTATTCCTGATAATTGACTTCGGCTGATAATATTGAGGTAGGGCGGAGTTAGGCAAGTGCAAAGTTTGTTGTGGGTAAGTTTGTTGATAATAGGAAGAATCCCGTGAATGGAATAATAATGTTGATGATAATGTTGGAGTAATGAGAGGTGATAATGATGCTTCCTTCATTGTAGTATCGGATGAGGGAAACGATAAAGTGGGAAAATATGATTGGATTGAATTTTGCAAAGTTTTTCAGGGCTTCTTTGATATCCCTGTGGATAATCTGTTTGCAGAACCGGCAATTCTAAAATATATTAAAGAGTCGATACCGAATTGGCAGGTGGCAGTTATTGTATCACCAGATGCAGTTGGTGCGAAACGGTATTATATATGGCTGGATTTGATCAGTTAGAGAGCTGTTAATATGTCTCTTCATAGATCCGTAATAATATCATGCGGGGGAGAGGGGGGACGAGACTTATATCATAATTTCATATTTCATTATATTTTGTCTTCAGTTTTGCGTTATATCCAGTGCTTTATTCATTCGGATTATATTTCATTGGCATAAATTTGCAGAGTAACTTCAATTGCTGATCGTTTAAATGTTGATTTCGCACTTATTCACAAAGAACGGAAAAAGGGCCAATGAGGTGGAAAAGATGACACTTGTTGGTAATGTTCGTGACAGGGTAACCTAAGTTTTGTTAACTGGTGTTTAAATTTGAAAACTAAATAACACCAGTAGATATGTTAAATATTCCGTTTTACTTAAACTTTTTCAAAATTCTTTTTCAGGTTGCTTTATTAGTTGATGATATGGCCGATACATGCGGAACGATTTGTCTTGCTGCTGAAAAGTAAGTGCAAATAGTTGTATAATTCAGTAATTTAGTATAATTCTTCTAGTGGCCATCAGATATTTCTCTTCATCGGTGCTTTTTTTGATGGTTCGGATCGCCTAACCATAATCGTGTAACAAAGAGTATCATTTACCAACGATTTTTCTGAGTATATATCAGTACTCGGATATTCTTTTTTTCCAAAAAACACATTTCATATGGCCTTTGGGATATGTTAAGGTTATAGTTTGTATTATCAATTGGGACCTATTTCGAGACATGATTATCAATTAGCATTTATTTCATGATATGATTAAATCGAATTTCGAATTACTGATGAAGGTTGGTAAGAATTTAAAAATACTTTATTCGTACTTTTTTGCTTTTAATAAAATTACAAACATAGCATTTCTGAAGAATGTGCCAAAGAGGAGAAGTAATTCATAGTCGCAACGAAATTACGCAAAATGATACGACGAAATAATCCTGAAACGATGAAAATTATATCACCATCTGAATCAAGTACCGAATCCTGTTTTTCATCCGAACCAACCAGGTACCGAATCTTGCTCTAATATTTATTTAACTTGAAACAAGCAATGTGCCTTAAATAATATTAAGCACTTTTATAACAATTCCTATTAAGTAAGTAATAAATTTATCTTTAAATCATAGAAGAAAAAAATAAACGTAAGGTTTTCCAATACTGACCAATTCGACTACTTTATATACAAATTTTATATACAAATCCAAAGTTCACCCTCGTCAGTGTTCATTCCATTATATTTAAACACCAAATAGAGTGTCGTAATTTTACTCAGTCATTATCTTCCGGTCGATAGAATAGATTTGACTATAGTCTATTTCCCATAGCCAAACAGTTTTACAATGAAAGGAAAAACTATGAAACAGTAAGGAATTAGTGGTATGAAAAGGGAAAAGAGTGATTTAGAGGGTATAGGAAGCAACCGAAGACATTTAAG